CAAAAATCATTTCAAAATAGATAGAAGCACTAAATGTAAGAGTTAAACCTATAAAATTCTTAGCTCAAAACATAGGTGTGAATTATTATTACCTTTGGGCAAAACTTTCTTAGATATAAAACCAAACGCACAAAGAATAAAAAAATTAGGTATATTGGACTTCATCAAAATAAAAAAACATTTGTGTGTCAAAAGAAACTATCAAAAATGTGAAAAGATAACCAACACTATGGGAGAAAATATTTTCCCATCATATCTGAAAAGGATCTAGTATACAAAGTTTGTAAAAATAATTTTACAAATCAACAATAAAAAGTTGACTCTTAATTAAAAAGGAACAAAGGATTTGTTCCAAAAAAGATATATAAATGGCCAATAAACATATGAAAAGATGTTCAACATTATTAGTCATTAGGAAAATGCAAATCAAAACTATAATCAGATACCACTACATAGCCTCTAGGATGGCTATAAAAATTTTAAAAATAAATAAATAATGGTCTGGGGTATATATAGCACAGTGGTATTGTGCTTGGCCAGCATGTGTGAGATTGGGACTCAATCCTCAGCACTTAAAATAAAAGTCAAAATTAATGTACCTAAGGAAGGAAATAAAGTAACAAGTGTTGGTAAGGATGTGGAAAATTTGGAAACCCCATGATAGGCATGTAAAATGGCTCAAATACTTTAGAATCGTAGTTTGACAGTTCCTGGAGAGGATTAAACATAGTGTTATTATATGATTCTATCCAGAGATCCATACATAAAAGGATTGAAACTTACATTCACACAAAAACTTGTACATAACAACGTTATTCATAATAGCCCCAAAGTGGAAATGATCCATATGTCCATCAACTCATGAACGGATAAAAGTCGTACATCTGGGCTGGGGTTGTGGCTCAGCAGTAAAGTGCTCACCTAGCACGTGTGAGGCCCTGGGTTTGATCCTCAGCACCACAGAATGAATGAGTGAATGAATGAATGAATGAATGAATAAATAAATAAATAAAATAAAGGTATTGTGTCCAACTATAACTAAAAAATAATAATAAAATATTTTAAAAGTAGTATATCCATACAATGGAATATTATTCAACAATAAAAAGAAATGCAATACTGATACATACTATCCCACTGATGAACTGTGCAAATATTTTGCCAACTAAAAGAAACCAGTCACAAAATGAAATTTATATTATTTCATTTATATGAAATGTCCAAAATGAGCAAATTCATAGTGACAGAAAGTAGTTTCATGGTTGTCAGTGACTAGGAGAAGCAGAGATGGGGAATGACTGCTAATGGGTATGGGCTGTCTTTGGGGGATGATGGAAATGCTCTAGAATTAGAAAGTGGTGATGCCTTGACACTTTGTAAATATACTAAGAACCATTGAAGTTTATATTTCAGATGGTGAGCTTTATGTTATATGAGTCAAATGTCAAATTACTTTTAAAAAATGAAGAGGGAGGCAGAAGAAAGAGAAAGAGATGTAATGGAGGATGGAGAAAAGGGACCAAAACTCAGGAAATGCAAATGGCTTATAGAAACTAGAAAAAGTAGGGAAACAGATTTCCCTCCTTGACCCTCCAGAAAGGGCATCAGTCCTATCAATACTTTGATTTTATTCCACTGAGTCCAGCCCATGTCAAATTTCTAATTAATAGAAGCAACTATAAGACAAACATTTATTTTTTAAAAATCACAAGTTTGAGATAATTTGTTCTAGCAGTGATAGAAAACTAGTACAGTGCCTTTGCAATATTTCAGTGAAAAGTGTACATTATTAAGTTCAATACGAGGCTCCAGAGTTCAGAAGAGAGATTTGGGCTAGAAATATAATGACATTTCTGAGCTCTCTTCCAACTAATTTATATATGTGCATGTAAGAATTAAATACATTGGATATTTACAGGCCTTTGAGGTTAGTTATTGCTTATTATTTACCTTTTTACATAAGGAAGCTGGGGCATAGAGAGAAGTTCAGTATCTTCCCTGAGGCATAGACGCATTATGACTCCAATGTAGAGAGTCTGGCTTCAGAGTTGGTGTTACTTCTGACAAATAAATAGGTCTGTGAATTATTATCAGGTAGGTACTGATGACAGCAAACTGAAAACACCTGTTAGCAGCATAAGAACATCGGTCACATTTGCAAGAGTACTTTTGATGGAGTGATGGGGCAGAGGTAAGAGTTGGCTGCAAGTGTAGACAACCCTTCTGCCCAGTATGGCTTGAAAAGGGAGAAGCAGCAGAGCATCATGGGGAGTGAGAGCTGAGAGAAGTCATTTTCAGTGGACGTCTGAAGATGTCTAAGAACTATTGTGAAATTCTGATGAGGGAGTGAATCTACAAGAGTGAGAAAGAAAAGGAGCCTCTATTTTAGAATTTTGAGAAGGAAGGGAGAGAGGGACCCATCACACCGTGGAGGGACTTGCCTTATGTGAGGCAGGACTAGTTTCTTTGTTATATCAGAGCAGAGTGAAAGGATAGGCTGGCATATTTGGCAACAGGAATGGGAGAGCATTTCTGAGGGCTTTTGTTTTCTCCTCTCCTAGGAGGAAGGAGTCAAGGTCCCTCTGCTGTTGGGGGAGGTACTGGGAGGGTAGGTGAAGAGAGTGAAAGTGGCAGTGGCAGTGGCAGCCACATCAAAGCAGCTTAAGTTTGAGGAGAGTGGAGAGGAGGCTTGGAATAATTATTTCGAAGAATTGCAGAATAAACTGGCCATGGGAGCCCAGAAGTATTTCTTTCAGTCTCAAGGGCCCAGTTAAGGATCTGTCTGGCTTACTACTATCATCTTAAATTGTTTGCAAGTTTTTACATGTGTCTGAGATTTCTTCTAACCCCAATGGTATTGTAAAATTCTTTTTTTTTTTTCTGATTTCCCCTCAATTTCAAGGGTAGTGTTGAGAAATAGTTCAGTAATGTATTTGGATAGCCTAACTAGGGTGTTCGACTAGTCATGATACTCCAGTTCCCAACATTTCGCGACAGAGAACGTTTGCTATAACATGTTTGTAAAAGGCAAATAAACTGGATGTTTCTTCCAAACCTTGATTTTTAATAGAAGTTTCCCACTGAAAGAAAGGGTCAGTTACAGAGCATCTGTTTTAAAGTTTAAAAGAAAAACAACAACAAAAAGACTTCATTCACAGAAGCTAGAAAAAAAAAAACTTCAACCTTTTCATTTTAATATTGAGGTAAATAAACCTCCTTGTTTTATAAGTTTATAAAGCCATTGCCAATAAATAAGCAGGAGTGTTGAATAGTGATAGAAAGAAATCCTTTTTATTTTACTTTATTTCGTTTTATTTTTTTAGGAAGCAGACAGTGAAATAAGACATGAGGGATGACTCTGGGCAAAGATAAGAGGACCCCTGCCAGACTCCTTTGCTGCTTGTTGCAATCCACAAATATGTGTGTGGTTGCCAGTGAGGTTCTCTGAGACTCTGTTCCACTCCTGGAGCTGATAAAAAAAATGTGACCTTTAGCTACAAATGGAAATCTCAGAGTATATGAAGCATAGCAACCAGGAAAGAGACCCAAGAAAATCACCCAGCAACAATCAGAAAGTTAGAAATAGCAACGCAGTAACCAAAACATAACCCAGACAAACTACGGAGCCAAGGAAAGAGGGAATGCATCCAGGCAGAGTGGAGATTCTCTTTGTGGGGTCCAACTAAGAAGTGTTACAAGACGTGTACTCACTCACTCATATTTGGTAGATACTTACTGTATGTCAGGGTTTTGCCAGAAGCTAGGAGTTCTAAGTTGAATAAGAAATAGACGGTATTTTCAATGAAATAAACCCCAGTGGCAAAGTGAAATAAATGCTAAGATAAGGTGTCTGCAAAGTGCCATGGGAGTACTGAAGAGTTGGGGGAGTTTGGGGACCTTTTGAGATGTCTTTGGAGTGTTCAAGTGGAAGCATTCATTTGGCTGTTGAATTCATAGGCAGAGATTGGAGCAGACAATTTGAATGATGATAAAAGTATAGACATTTGTATACGTAGTAGTTGGAGTTGTGAGTTTGAAGAAAGTCTTGAGGGCATATTGAAAGTGAGGGCAGAGTTCTGGGGAGCATTGACATTTATAGGAGAAACCAGAGAAGAGGAAGAGACAAAGCAGGAAAGAGAAGGAGAGCAATAGAAAGTGTCGAGCATCCAAAGTATAAATTGAATTCAGAAAGGAGGTCATCAAGGTCATTCATCAGAATAACTTAGGAGCAGTGTTGGAAGGAAGTCATCAAAACTGAGGAAAATGTAAACACTTAAGTGGTTTTATAAAGAAAATCTTGCAAGCTTTGCTTTTGAATAGCACACTTTGACACAGGCTTGCAAACAGCTAATTCTAGTAATCATTCTGGACTCTATTTTGACTCTTTGAGTACTTTTTCCTCATTCAAATGAGGATTCTATGATTAAACTGTGAGAATCCAGGAGAGAGTGTGAAGGGAACTGACCCTTTCAGCAGTTATCAGGTGCAAATTTCCTTTGGGGGTGAGAGATGTGTTTCAGGAATTGAAACCACTCACCATTACTCACAACTCCAGCCATTTTTATTTTTTTTATTTTGAGACAGGGTCTCACTAAGTTGTTTAAGGCCTCGTTAAATTGCTGAGGCTGGCTTTGCATGTGTGATCCTCCTGCCTCAGGGTTTCCCTCCTTGTTGCTGGGATTTCTGAGTGGGCACCACCTTGCCTCCAACCATAAAACCTTTTGAAGAAGTTTTTTTTGTTTTCCTTTAGATGAAGATTCAAGGTGAGGTGTAAATAAAGTAGCATTGTCTACTAAACTCAACAATTATCACTTTGCTTTGATTTTATAGCCTCCGGAAGAACTTTCAGTTCTCTTGCTTATAGGTCTTCCAGACTTTGAAAAGCCTGGGGCTACTGGCTATCTGTGATCTACCTGAATACTCCTTTTAGAATCTATTCCATTCTATTAGTCTGTTTTTGTTACTATGATGAAACACCTGAGGCAGGCTATAGCTCACAGTTCTGGAATTCTAGGGCATGGCACCAGCATCAGGTTGACTCTGGTAAGAACCTCATAGCTGATGGTGGGGATGAATGTAAGAGGAATTACGTTGCCAGACTGCCACAGTCTGGCTGGGCACAATTCAGGAGCCACTTGTCAAAGGAAACAAACTTTATTTTTAGAACACACACACCGCACCACACAGCTCTTCAGGAAAACCCTCAGAGTCCAACTGCCACCACCTGCTTCCCACAAGCCTCTCAACCTCCCCCACTCCTCCTGCTCTTGAGGCCGATTGACTGGGTTGTGTGGGTGGAGCCAAAAAAAGTCCCCAATGAGCAGCTCCGTGGTCTGAAAGGGCAGGGAAACAGCCCAATGAGCATCACCGCAGAGGAGCCAATCATCAGCTGGCAGCTGGAAGTTTGCTGGCAGCTGGAAGTTTGCTGGGGCCCCTTCGGCTGTGGCTCTCAACACCAGACAGAAAGTCAGAGAGTAACTGGGGTCTCACAATCCCTTCTGAGGGCAGATCCTTAATGACTTAAGGACCTCCTGCTTGGCTTTACCTCTTAAGGTCCATACAACTTTCAATGCTGCCACCTTGAGATTTCCAATACATGATCCTTTGGAAGAAAACCATACCCAAACCATAGAACCCAGCCTTGATTTAAGGAGCACCACCTATGTCAGTTCTACCTGCTTTCCAGGTTCCTGGGTCATCACCTGACTAATGCCGCTTCTGATAGTCTCAGGGGATTCTTGAACTTCAACCTCTGTTGTTATTATTGTTGTTGTTCTTTTAAAAATTTTTAGTTGTAAATGGACACAATACCCTTATTTTATTTATTTTTATGTGGTGCTGAGGATCGAACCCAGTGCCTTACCATGCTAGGCAAGTGCTTTACCACTGAACCACAACCCCAGCCCTCTCTTCTTCTTTTTTTGCCCCTGATCATGAAAGGAAAAAATCATGTAGCATCCACTTAAATCCAATCCTATGATGATTTTCTTCCAACCAGAAAAATGTACAATATAAATAATTTCTATCTAATGTTCATATTCCCCTTTTATATGAGGTTAAACTACATGAAACTGCCTTCTTGGAGGACAGAAAAATTGAGTGTCAGTGATTCCATGTAGGTTTTGAATGATCATCTGAACTTTGTTGTGTACTGAATGTATTTGGCCTAAATTCATATTTTGAAACTGTACCCCATAAATGTGATGGCATTAGGAAGTGGAGCCTTAGGGAGGTAACTAGAGTTAGATGAGGTCATGAGGGTGATTTCTTTATGAATAGAATTAACGGTCTTTGTTAGAGTTGTAAGAAAGCTTGCCTCCCCTCTCTGCATTTTGTCTTAGGAGTTAATAAAGAGAAGTTGGCAGTCTCAACGTAGAAGAGGTTCTAAACCAAAATTCAGTCATACTGAAACACTGAAATTGGACTGCCAGCTTCCAGAACTGTGAGAAAAAAATGTATAAATAAATAAATGTTGATAAGCTATCCAGTGAATTGTAATTTCTTACAGCAGCCTTACCTAAGATAAGCTTCACATAGGAAATGATGGGAACATTGATTCTGTTTGATTTAATGTTTCTGCAGTTTTTGTGTCTTATTTCTATTTTAAAATTTATGTTGTTTGCATATTAAGTAAGGTCAGGCTGCTATTTTAATGTCTAGGAAATATATTAACCTTTATAAAACAGAACCCCAAAATCATATCTATTAATTTAGGAACCTGTTTAAAGCTTTCTGTTGTTTAAAGAGTGTATATCTATGAAACTGAGTTTTTATAGCACAGTTTTTGAGACAAGAAACTATTAAGAATTGGTCTTTTTAACCCAGTCTGGCAGCTCCATGCACCTTAATCAGTTTTCTTTATTGCCTCATAACATAGCCTAATACAAATTCAAATTTGGGGTTATACCTCAACCCATTTCAATTTCTTAAGCAACATATGAACAAAAACCATATTTATTTTAAATATCACAAGCTGTGTGTTCATGTTGACAAAATATTAAGATTAAATTATATAGCCTAAATGCCTACATTTTATTTGGTTTAAAATTTATTTAAATACTTTCGTGTTTCCCGGAGGTTTAAACTTTTAGATTGGAACACCCATTCTATGTTACACTCTAAATCTAGCTATTAGACTTAAAGTTCACCAAACACTAATAGAATGCTAACACTACCTTCATGTGATTCTGGAGTGGAATAAAAGAACCTCAAAATGGAAAGTCATTGAACTCAAATCCCATTGTTTTATGCTTCAAGAGGCCATGAAAAAGCTCCTCAGGCATGAAAGTGTAATGGTTAATGTAAGTATTGCTTGTACTATTAAAAAAATCTGACTTTAATCCATTTGTCCTAACTGTAATCTCTGCTTCCATTATAACATATTTAACTGACTTCCAACTGGCAATCCTTCCAGTTTTTAGGGGAATCGTGATATTTTTTCCAAGGTCAACTTTGTTGTATAATTGTGGTATGTGGGGCTATTTTTTTTTGGGGGGGGGACAAACACTATCTTTCCATTTCCATTTTTCCAGTCATTAATATAGCCTCTAGAAGAAAAGAAATGAAAGGGACAGAAATGCCTGTGAAAAATTCCAATGTAAAGATATTTAAGTAATGTTTTCTTGTTAAGAAATCCAGAAAAAAATTAATTGGAAAGAGAAATTTAATTGGCCATGGAAATTTGTCTTTTGTTGAAAATAAAACAAACCTCCCTTAGAAGAAAGAAATGGTTGCATATGGGTTAATAGCTTAAGTAGAAAAAAATCACAAATATTAAAAGGACAGAACTGTGAAAGCAATGTATCCAGTTTTTTTAAAAAGGATTTTTATACGTATTTTTAGTTGTTGGTGGCCCTTTGTTTTATTCATTTATTTATATGTGGTGCTGAGAATTGAACCCAATGCCTTACACATGCTAGGCAAGTGCTATACCACTGAGCCACAGTCCTGATGTATCCAGTTTTAATTGAGAGAGTAACTAGGCTAAGTAAAGGCAAATGGGTTCCAACCTGTGGGAGAATACAGCCTCTCTAATGCTTCGGAAATGAAGTTCTATATCAGAATTTAAAATCCTTAATAAATTACTAAAATTAAGAGAGGGAAAGCCTTGGTGAAGGGCACTATTAGTTAGCTTGTGGAGGGAACAACATGGTAAATAAGAAGAGATTCCAAAGGCATAAAAGGAGAAACAGAGAGGGCAAGCCTTTGCTTTTACACTGGTGACCTTGTCAGAGAGTGGTCCAGAGAGAATGTGAGAGCTGGTGGCAGAGCTCAGTGGGAGAGCTCTTTTCTATGATGGGATTCCATCCCCAGCTCTGGGGAGATAGAGAGGGAAAGTGAGAGCTGGAAATGACCTTGAGATACTTTGCTTCTATCACCTCATTTTTAGATGACACAATTGAGCCTCAAAGAAAATCTATTTGGTGGTAGGACTGGAATTTGAACCAAGAAACTCTGCTTCCAGTCTTGGGGAAAATGTTTATAACATTTAGCATCACTTAATATGTTCTCATTATTTATGGCTAAGGTACTATTAAAAGTGATGCTGTGGAGGCATATAAATACATACAGATGGACATCATTATTATCATCATCACTACTGTTGTTACTGGGCATTCAGAAAGAAAACTCTTGTATCTACCCCAGATAAAAGACTTAAATAATCTTCTAGATGCCTGAAGACCAGATTCTAATCAAACCTCTAAAGTGACTTAATTACTTGGGCAGTTTCTGGTCTCCAACTTTCTGGGTGGAAAATGATTTATTGGCCCTCCTCAATGAGGGTGTTTGACAGAGCCGTTTCTTGTCCACCCCCTCCACTGGATGTTGCTTGGAGACTCAAGGCTGGCACTCTTCTTTGCAAGCAAGAGGGAATGATGAAAAGTGACGGTTGGCTCCTCCAAGTCCTTAGATGAACTAAGGACTAGCTAGCTCACGTTCTGTGAACCTGTCCCATGGATGTGTGTCCTCAACAGAGCCTCTGAGGCAGAGCACTACTGAACATTGTGGCAGTGCTCTAGTCAGCATCAGTGCTGAACTCCCAGAGACCACAGTTAGTGGTGGCTCCTCTTTGATCTTGGTGACAGGGCTTTCCTGGGACTGCTCCACCTGCCAGCCAGGTCCTCTAAGGAAAGGCAGCTCTGCTGACATCGTCCAAGTCCCAAACTCTAGCTCTGTCAGCAGTAAGATAGCTCTCCATTATTCTTTTAAAAGACATTCTGTAGCCCTTTGCCTACATTATCTCATTTAATCCTCACAGAAATGCTATGAGGTTGGCTTAATAATCACCTGGAGGAAACACTGTCTCTGAGAGAGTAAGCAAATTGCTCAAGATCATGAAACTAGCAAATGGAAAAACTGGTCTTCAAACCCAGATTATCTAATCTCAAAGTCTACAACCTGAACCATGGCTTCTCTTACACATGTATTAATTGTTTTTAAACAAATGTTTGTATGTGTTGTGGATTAAAAGTTATTTATTTAAAAGTATTATATAGTTTGTAGTATGTTTTTTTATTTTTCTATTTTTCTACATTGAAAGTAACTCAACTACCAGATGATTGGAATGTGATATAGAGGGGTTTTTTTTCTTTTTTTGGTTCCAGAGATTGAACACAAGGGGGGTTAACCCCTGAGCCACATCCCCAGTCTTTTTTTGGGGGAGGGGGACAGGGTCTCACTAAATTGCTTAGGGCCTTGCTAAGTTACTGAGGCTGGAAACTTCTAAGTTACTGGGGCTGCAAAGCACTTGTGATCCTCCTGCCTCAGCCTCCCGAGTTGCTGGGATTAGAGGCATTCACCAACTTGCTGATGTAATATAGTATTTTTAAAGAGTTCTCTCAAGTCAAGGTTTGTGGCATAGCTCAGTGGTAGTGTACTTGTCTAGTATAAAAGAGGCTATAGACTTTATCCCCAGCACCGAAAATGGGGGGAAAGATGGAATGAAAAGACTCTTCTCAAAAGCTTTTTAAAATGTAGTGTAGAAACGCAATTTTGTGAGTTGATGGAGCATAATTTACAATTATTTTAGCAGCATTCTGCTA